TGATGATGATGATGATGATGATGATGATGATGATGGCGACGTTGATGATTCTGCTGCTGATCCTGATAATGCTGATGATGCTGATGATGATAATGCTGATGATGACAATGACGACGCGGATGATGATGATGATGATGATGATGATGATGATGATGATGATGATGATGATGATGATGATGATGATGATGATGATGATGATGCTGCTGCTGCTGCTGCTGCTGATGATGCTGATAATGCTGATAATGCTGATGATGATGCCGCTGATGATGATACTGCTGCTGCTGATAATGATGCTGATGCGGATTATGATGATGCTGGTGATGATGCTGATGATGACGCCGATGATGATGCTGATGATGAGGATGCTTCTGCTAGTGATGATGCTGCTGATGGTGCTGATGATGGTGATGATGCTGATGATGACGCCGTTGATGACGCCGATTATGAGGATGATGATGATGCTGATGATGATGATGATGATGATGATGATGATGATGATGGTGATGGTGATGGTGATGCTGCTGGCGATGATGCTTTAGTTGTTGATAGTGATAATGACGATGATGCTGAAGCTGATGATGACGCCGATGATGATGATGATGATGTCAGGATGTCGATAATCATAAGACTGCTGTCCAGCGTGATGGTGATTGTGCTGCTATTGCTGCTGCTGTTGCCGACGACGACGATAATGATGATACTGATGATGATGATGATGCAAGGATGGTGGTGATGATAATGCTGATGCTGATGATGCTGATGATGACAATTCTGATTATTATTATGATGATGATACTGCTGCTGCTGATGATGATGATGCTGGTGATGATCATTATGAGATGATGATGATAATGATGCTGATGATGATGAGGATGATGGTGAGGATGATGGGGATGATGATGATGATGATGATGATGATGATGATGATGATGAATATGATTACGATTATGATTATGATTATGACTGATGATGACTGATGATGACTGTGATCATGGTGCTGGTGAGTATTATGATGGTGGTGGTGGTCGTGGTGGTCATGACGGTGATGATGATGGTGATGATGACGGTTATGGTGATGGCGACGACGACGATGATGATGATGATGATGGTGGTGGTCATGAGGAGGAGGTGGAGGAACGGGAGGAGGGAGGAGAGGAAGATGAGTGAGGACGAGAAGGTGTCATCACCCTGGCCCCCTGCCGCCTCGGAGGGCCCTAGAAGGCCCCATCCGAGGATTCTGCGGGACTAGGAGGGGCCCATACGTTTTCAAGAGCCTCTGAGCTCGACCTTCTTTCCTCCCTGCAGGCCCTTGTCTTTTTGCCCTCCTCGTGCCTCCTCGATTTCTCCTCGACCTATTGCGAAGGCCTTACGGCCGGTGCCGCCGACCCTGAAGGGGAACGACGACGGCGGCGGCGGCGGTAGCGACGACGACGATGCTGACGTGGGTTGAGTCCTCGAACGTGCTTCTTGGGGTTTCTTCCGAGCGCTCTCGGGGGCCTCTGGGGGGACGTTTGGGGGCCTCTTGGGAGCCTCTTGGGGCCTCTTGGGGCTTCCTGGGGGCCTCTTGGGGGCTTCTCGGGGCTGAGGGCTCGAAATGTCCGTTCGGGTCCCCGTCTGGGCACTCTCTTGGAACCGTCTTGGGGGCCTCTTGTGCCGTCTTGGAGGCGTCTTGGGCCGTCTTGGGGCACTCTTGGGCCGTTTGGGGATTCTCTTGGAGGCCTCTTGGGCCGTCTCGGGGCGACCTTGGGGGCCTCTTTGGCCGTCGTGGCACGTGGGGAAGCGGAAGAGGCGAGAACGCCAAAATTCTTGAAAAACGTATGGGAAATCCATGATTTTTGCCTCTTGGGGCTCTCGTGGGAACGGTCCTGGAGGCCTCTTGGGGCGTCTCGCAGGCCTCTTGGGCCGTCTGAAGGCCGTCAAGGCGTCTTGGACAGATCATTCGGCGATTCGGGGCCCTCTTGGATCGTCTTGGGGGCCTCTTGGGGCACTCTTGGCCCGTCTTGGGGCTTTTTTGGGCTCCGGGATTCCCTGGGGGGGCGGCGTAAAAACCCGGGACTCCCCCCCCGGACCCCCCCCGGGACCCCCCCCCCGGGCGGGGAAGGGATCAAAGGGAAGCCCTTCGACTCAATTACGACGTTGCTCAATTTCACTGTGGACTGGCACGCTTCAGGAGGAGGCCCTGGGAGAGGGGTAGAAGCAACGACGCTGTGGGGAAAGGGGAAGGAACGACGACGACGACGACGACGACGAAGAGGGAACAGACGGAGAAGCCTCTTCCACACGCCGACAGGGTCGGCGGATTTTTCTGCCTTCCTCTTCTCCTCCTCCCTCCTCCCCCCTCCTCCCCTCGACCTCGTCCCCCCTCTTGCTCGAGGTCGCCTTCTGCGTCGCCCCTCTCCGTCGCTGGGCCCGACCACTCGCCGCCCCCCCCCCCTCCCCCAGAGGCGAGGTGCCGGGGCAGCGCCTTCCTCTTCGCGGGCGACGGCGTCAAGTACGCCAGGACGGGCCTCTCCCGCCGCCCCGTGGGCTCCCAGAGGCTCCTCCTCCTCCTCCTCCTCCTCCTCCTCCTCCTCCTCCTCCTCCTCTCTCTCCTCCCTCCCTCCTCCTCCTCCTTCTCCTCCTCCTCCTCCTCCTCCTCCTCCCTCCTCCTCCTCCCTCCTCCTCCTCCTCCTCCTACTCCTCCTCCTCCTCCTCCTCCTCCTCCTCCTCCTCCTCCTCCTCCTCCTTCCTCCTCCTCCTCCCTCCTCCTCCTCCTCCTCCTCCTCCTCCTCCTCCCCTCGTCTTTTCATCCTCCAGGCGCTGGGGCGTGGGTTGTCCCCATTGCGGCTGTCCGCGGCTGTCCTTTGGTGGTCATTCAGTTGTCCCGCGGTCGTGCCCCGATGGTCCAGCGGTCGTCCCACGATTTTCCCGCGGTGGTCCTGCGGTTGTCTCGTGGCTGTCCCGCGCTTGTCCCGCGCTTGTCCCGTGGTTGCCTCGCGATTATCCTGTGGTTGTCCCGCGTGTGTCCCGTGTTAGACTTGCTGTCGTTTTGTCTATAGACAGTGGGACCAATCGGAAGATGGTGATGTGTACATATATATATACATGCACATATCTGTATATCACTATATATACAGATATCAAGTGTTTGAGGGTGGCTGGTCGGGGTCGCTCCCCGCCCCTCAGCATACCCTTACCCCCGACGTGGACCTCTTGATGGCCTCGCGGGGTGTTCTAGGAACTGCCGTAAACTGTTCAGACGAATGTGTGCGGCGCTCAGGCGAGAGTCACATTTTGAAAATGAGCCGCCCTCCATCTGTGAAGCTCTTGCAGCATTCCCCAAACAGTGTTTGTACTTAGGCGTTTTTTACCTAACAGCGAAGACTGATAGGTTTCTAGCGGTTTCAAAAGAGAGCATCATGACTCCCCAGGGGGGTCTGGGCAGATGCCGGACGGGTGCCGCGGGAATCCGGGGACTCCCCATTTTCAGTGCCAGGAGCCACATTTTGACTGCCGGGAGCCAACAGAACACCACTCCCAGGCCACATTTTGAATGCCTGGAGCTGACTGTAAGCCACTTCATGTTCTTCGTGCTCCCAGAACACCATTCCCAGGCCACATTTTGAATGCCCGGAGCCAACTGTAGGCCACTTCGTGTTCTTCGTGTTCCCAGAACACCATTCCCAGGCCACATTTTGAATGCCCGGAGCCAACTGTAGGCCACTTCGTGTTCTTCGTGTTCCCAGAACACCATTCCTGGCAATATTTTTAATGCCCGGAGCCAACTGTAGGCCACTTCGTGATCTTCGTGTTCCCAGAACACCAGTCCTGTACAATATTTTGATTGCCAGGGGCCAACTGTAGGCCACTTCGTGATCTTCGTGTTCCCAGAACCAGTCCTGTGCCATATTTTGAATGCCCGAGCTGAGGCAGGCTGAGGCCGAGGCAGGCTGAGGCTGAGGCTGAGGCTGAGGCAGGCTGAGGCTGAGGCTGAGGCAGGCTGAGGCTGAGGCTGAGGCAGGCTGATGGCTGAGGCAGGCTGAGGCTGAGGCTGAGGCTGAGGCTGATGCAGGCTGAGGCTGAGGCTGAGGCAGGCTGAGGCTGAGGCTGAGGCTGAGGCTGAGGCTGAGGCTGAGCAGGCTGAGGCTGAGGCTGAGGCAGGCTGAGGCTGAGGCAGGCTGAGGCTGAGGCCTGAGGCAGGCTCAGGCCGAGACAGGCTGAGGCTGAGACTGAGGCTGAGGCTGAGGATGAGGCCGAGGCAGGCCGAAGCTGAGACAAGGTGAGGCTGAATGGGGGGGGGGAGGGGGGGGGAGGAGGGGAGGCTGAGGCAGGCTGAGGCCGAGGCAGGCTGAGGCCGAGGCAGGCTGAGGCTGAGGCAGGCTGAGGCTGAGGCTGAGGCAAGCCGAGGCAGGCTGAGGCTGAGGCTGAGGGTGAGGCAGGCTGAGGCTGAGGCAGGCTGAGGCTGAGGCTGACGCAGGCTGAGGCCGAGGCAGACTGATGCTGAGGCTGAGGCAGGCTGAGGCTGAGGCTGAGGCCGAGGCATGCTGAGGCTGAGGCTGAGGCAAGCCGAGGCAGGCTGAGGCTGAGGCTGAAACTGAGGCAGGGTGAGGCATTCGTAGGAATCCGTAGGAATCCCTAGGAATCCCTAGGAATCCGTAGGCATCCCTAGGAATCCGTAGGCATAGTTAAGCATCCTCAGGAATCCTTAGGAATCCTTAGGATTCCTCAGGAATCCTTAGGGATCCCTAGGAATCCCTAGGAAACAGGATTCCTAAGGATTCCTAAGGTGTCCTAAGGATTCCTATGGATTCCTAAGGATGCCTAAGGATGCCTCAGGAATCCCTAGGAATCCTTAGGATTCCATTGGATCCTAAGGCCGTTGCCACTGCGACTGTCATTGCGAATGCGACTGCGACTGCGAGAACAGCAGAATTCTAAAACTGGATTCTCACCTGAATCTTAAGGGGAATGCTTCCAGATATGCTTATACACATCGCTGTTAGGTTGCTTTGCCGGGATAATATTGCGAAGGCCTCACGGCGGGTGCCGCCGACCCTGAGATCGACGAAGATGAAAACGAGGGGGGGGGGGTAGGGGGAGGAGATGAGTGGGAGGTGGAGGAAGTTTGGGACTTTGTTGGAGGCTTCTTGGGGCGTCTCGGGGCGATCTTGGGGGCCTGTGGGGTTGTCTGGGAGCTTCGGGGAGCGAAAGAAACGAGAACGCAAGAATCTGTGGAAAACGGACGAGAATCCAAGGATTTTGCTTGATTGGGCCTTCGTGGGATTGCGCCTGGAGGCATTTGGCCTCGTCTTGCAGGCCTATGGGGCCGTCCAGAGGCTGCGAAGGCGTCTTGCACAGATCGTTCGGCGATTCCACGTGTTTTTGAAGTGTCTTGAAGGCGTCTCGGGGCAATCTTCGCTCGTCCAGTGGCCTTCTTGAGCTCCGGGACCCGTCCCTGAAGGGGAACGACGACGGCGGCGGCGGCGGCGGTAGCGACGACGACGCTGATGTGGGTTGAGTCCTCAGGGGTTCTTGGGGTCTCTTCCGAGCGCTCTCGAAGGCCTCCGGGGGGCAGTTTGGGGGCTCTTTGGGAGCCTCTCGGGGCCTCTTGGGGCTTCTTCGGGGCCTCTTGGGGCTGAGGGCTCGAAATGTCCGTTCGGGTCCCCCGTCTGGGCACTCTCTTGGAGCCGTCTTGGGGGCCTCTTGGGCCGTCTTGGAGGCATCTTGGGCCGTCTTGGAGCCCTCTTCGGCCGTTAGGGGACCCTCTTGGGGGCCTCTTGGGCCGTCTCGGGGCGATCTTGGGGGCCTCTTGGGCCGTCTTGGCGCGTCGGGAAGCGGAAGAGGCAAGAACGCCAAAATCATTCAAAAACGTATGAGAAATCCATTAATTTTGCCTCTTGGGGCTCTCGCGGGAATGCTCCTGGAGGCTTCTTGGGGCGCTTTGCAGGCCTCTTGGGCCGCCTGGAGGCCGTTAAGGCGTCTTGGACAGATCGTCGCTCGGCGATTCGGGGTCCTCTTGGACTGTCTTTGGGGCCTCTTGAGGCACTCCTGGCCCGTCTTGGGGGCTTCTTTGGGGCTCAGGGACCCCCCCCAGGACCCCCCCCCCCCCGAGACCCCCCTCTGGGACCCCCCCCCCGGGACTCCCCCCCCCGGGGGGGGGGCGTCGTGTCTGACCCCCCCCTCCCGGGACCCCCCCCCCCCGAGACCCCCTCCCGGGACCCCCTCCCGGGACCCGCGGGCCCCTCCCCCCCCCGGCGGGGGAGGGATCGAAGGGAGGGGGCCTCCCTTCGGCTCAATTACGACGTTGCTCAACTTCGCTTTGCCTGGTCGCAGGCCTAGAGGTTGACACCAACACCAACATCGGCGGTGTGCCTCCACCGAGGGAAGACGATTTCGATCTCGGTGATGGTGGTAATATTTTGGCTTCCAATGTGACCGGAATCTTACCACCAACACTGGAATCTAGGATCATCTTCACCCTGTGGAGGCAAACCCCTGTGTTGGTGTTGGTGCCCATTTCCAGGCCTCTAACCTGGCGCGCTGAGGAGGTCCCTGGGAAAGGGGGGAGCTTCGACGAGCCCAGGGACGGGGGGAGGCAGGGAAAGGGGACGACAGAGACGACGACCAACGAATGACGGAGATGACGACTTGAACGGACAAGCCCCTCACACACGCCGACAGGGTCGGCGTATTTACAGTGCTTGTATTCATTCGTTTTTGTTTCTGTTTTTAGGAACTGAGTCGTCTCTTCAGTCTTGTGGCTATGTGGCCGCCGTCGCCGCATCGTCGCCGCCCGTTGCCGCCTTTGGATTGTGCCACACAGATTGCACAAAGAACTGTTCGCGCCTGCGGCGCGCTTGCTGATCGTTCACAACATAGATGGCACCACGAATATTGCACCACATAGGGCGCACCACGTGGATTGCACAGCATGTGTGGCACAATCACGTATATTGCCCCACATCGGTTGCGCAACATATACTGCTGCACTACATCCACTGTACAGCATGGAATGCACCATGTAGATTGCACAATTTAGAGTGCACAACCTAGAATGCACCAGCATAGACTACACCACATAGTCTGTACATCATAGGTTGCACGACATAGAATGCACCACATGGACTGCACCACATAGATTGCACCACATACACAGCACCAGATATATCGCTCCACAAATCGTGCACCACATAGGTTCTCTTTTCCAAAACGAGAATAGAATCCCCCCCAGGATAATCGTTACCCTTCTTCGTGCGTCAATTTACAGATGATTCTGCCCCATCGTCCATCCTAATATGAAATCGTACCAGCCCAGCCCCAACCGGCATCGACTTCCCCCGTCATCCTCTGCAACAGAATATGCGCGCGCATTCGTTCATAAAAGATCAGAAGTGTTCAATAATCCCTTGCGAAAAACGAGACGAAGTGCACACACGCGCGCCGTCGCGTGCGCATGCCGAAATCCGTCAACAAGTTCGGTGCCGTAAGAACATGTAACAACACAGGGTGTCGCAAAACTGA